AAAAAAGGTGGGGGGGGGAAGAAGAAGAAGGCGAACTTGTACTGAAAGCATTTCCTTAGGAAGACCCATTTTGGGAAAGTAGAGGCTGCAGAAATTAAATTCCATATGTCTACCAAGTCCCAGTAACCTTTGGAGAGTTTTCATGCTCCTCAGTTTGAATGCTGTAGGCTTAGAGGACTGAGAGAAGTGATGTGGGATTCTTTACGAGAAAGATGAGTTAGAGGTTCTGGGACTCTGAAAGCATTGGAGATGTAAGGACCTCTGTGGTCCTATATTAAGTGTCAAGATGTCCACCACTTGTGGAATGGCAAGGATGCAGGAGGTGGGATCTTAGCAATTGCGACCCTGATAACTTTTCTGGCTTCCTCATAAGTTTTGCCTCAGGACCCAGTTTTGCCTCTACCTCCCTAAACTGGGCAAGGTCTTAGTCACAGTTGGTTTCTTCCTCCTTCATTTTTTTTCTCAGCTCTCGTAGAAGAGGAGAGGAAACCCAAGGTATTTTCGTGAGCCTCCTTTCGTCCACAGCCCTCACAGCGGCAATTGCACAGATTCTCCTCAAAGCTCCTACCCCATCATCGCCCACTTGCAGGCCCTGGACCTCTACGACAAAGGCTGGCCTCCTGGCCAGCATCGCTGGACCTTCGAGGACCCCTTCCAGAGGAGGAGAAGCACTCAGGTCCTACCAGTTTGGTTGGCCATTAGTTCTGTCTTGGAGCTTGAAAAGCAAATCAACAACAATAGCAATAATAATATCAAGACTTGCATAGCGCGTTGTGCTCATTTGTGTGCATGTGTTATGATTTAACGATCGGGCGACGTAGCACCTGGTAGTAGAACAGCTGCTGGACAGCGGCAAGGAGAGCGCCGCCCTTGCAGGGGAAGGGGCAGGCGCAGCCGATGAAGACGTGGAAACGGGAATCTGAGAGATAGGAAAGCAGGGCCGGAAGGCTTGCCAGCAGCCAGCTGAAGGAAAAGGTTTGACTTCCCTTTTTAAAGACTCCTGCCCTGCCCTGAAGCCCTACGCCGCCTAGGAGAGCCCAATTCCCTATCCACCCTGCCCGGTTCCCCTGCCCCTCCTTGGAAAGGTGGCTTGGTCCTCCCAGTACGGCTCGTCTGCGGCTGGGCCCCCCAGGCAG